GATGAGAACCCATGACCCGTTAACCACTACAACTACAGAGAAAAAACTGTAATGCTGCTCAAGTGCTATCAAATTTCAGCAGAAAACACAAGTGCATTTGTGCTAAATAAATGGATGGCGTCAGAAACAACAACACAGTTATTGCTTCATTCTTTTTTTTTACGTCAATATGATGAAAACACAAATATGTCAGTGTAGCTGTTTCGAAAACCGGTCCTAGTTTTTTAGAGAATGCACGGTCTCAGACACTTTTTTCTAGTAGCAACTGAAATCCTTTTGTTTACTAAACAAAAGGATTTCAGTTGCTACTAGAAGAAAAAGCTGAATTTCTTATTCTATAAACAAGAAAAAAGCACGGATAGTGTATTATTAAGAGGAGAAAATGACAAAAGATCAGAGTACAGAACAAATTTAAAAGCGTTAAAAATGAGTACTAATATTGTAGACGCATAAAAAACAACAGTTTGCAAAAAGTGATGCTTTAAAAAAACATATGAAGAGTTAAAAATAAATAAAAATAAACTCCCACTAGTGTCCCCTGCAGGTCTGGTTTGAAGGCTAACAAAAAGGTTTTATACTGTGAGCTACGGTGTACCACTAACAATCACCCACCAGAGGATGTCAGTGAGCACTCTGGAGAAAAATAATGTTTAAGACTAAAACTCTTCACATAAAAGAGATCATAACAATGTTAAAAATCACTATCGCCCAATGCACTCCCCGGCTTCCCCGTGTTCTCATGAGAACCGTGGCTGTTACAAAACACAATTTTAGTCGAGTGACATAAAACCTTCATTCTGGGTTGGGTCACAGTTTGAAGAGAGGAAGTTAAAGACCACAAAAAAAAAGGAAATGGATAAATTTACCCTGGTAAATTCTCTAAAATGTTGCCACAAAGAGACAAAAGACTAATAGATGAAGGTTAGAAACGTTTATGACAATTAATCTAAAATAAAAAATGAAAATATAGTTTCATTGTCAACATAATAAAGAAAACAGTCCTTTCCAGTGTTTCAATTAATTTAACATAACTTTTTATGATGAATGTTTCAAAAGACAAATCATTGATTAAAATAGATAGCTTAGCTATCAGCAGAATTATTTTGTCACACATTTTGATTATTTTGAATTCAGAATTTTATTTTCAGAATTCTACTCATCATTAGAGAGCACTGGCTGTAGAGCCAAGGTTTAGATTGGAAACATACATCTTCAAAAATAGATTATTATAATTAAAATTGATAGATTAGTGTAGCTAGATAAATTAAAAAAATATTTCTTAAGAAGAAGAAAGTAAGAGTGCTATGAGTGTGTTTGTAGGGTTATGGTTAAGGTCAGGGTTAAAAATGATTTCACTCTCTGCTTTACCACATGTGGTTTCGGAGAAAAGTTCAGCGGTTTTTGTTTTGTTTTTTTTCAACCTGGCGCCTCCACCTCTGCAGTGAACGTCTCATGTGTTGG